CAACTAGAGATTTTTCTTTGTACTGAGACAGTTAGGTGCTCCTCAACTTAAGTGCTCCTTCTTCTGAACAAAACAAACAAAATGACAAAACAAAAATGTCAGATTGTCTGAAGTAATCAGAGCATCAGAGCCATGTCTATGACTGTTAATTAATTATGATGAAAGTTTATACACACGCACAGATTGCTTATAGAAAAAAAAGAGTTTACTGCTCTGCATTCAGCTTTAATTTAGCTAAATGTTCCTTGTGGCCCCAGGAACAAAACAAACAAGAACATTTCTTGCCCTGATCCCCATTCTTGTACACAGACCTGCAATAAAGAATGTGATCTTTTTCTGATTTATGTTTACATACTAGAAAGCAAAGTGGTTTCTTGTTTGATGTTATATGTTTTGTTTTTCATTCTGAGTTTGTCTCACTTCTTTGTGGTTTGCTATGGCCTAAAATATGTCATTACATGCCAAACAATATTCAAGATTTATTAAAGATTAACAAAAAGCTGCGTGACACAAAACTTACACTTTGTTTTTATGAGAATAATGTGATATTATGTGAAAGTGCAAGAAAAGCAATTACATTTGACTATTTGTACCTGTTCTGACATTAATAAACCACTTCTAAAAGAAGGGTAATCATTTACTAAGTTATTCATCCGTTTTATTATCTTGCCTCTGCTTACTTTTGATGGAAGCTTTTATTTTGAAGACACAGGAAGTCTTGTGTGCCACTCGTAAATACATCCGGGTAACAGCTTTCCGCTTCGTACACGAAGTAAATAATAAAGGTAGCGGTTTATTCCCTTTTAAACGGCGGTACTTGTTTAAATATGTGTTTTAATCTAACGATGGTTTAACCGAATGGATATTTAAAGACGCAAGTTTAGGCGAAATTGCATATTATGGACACAGGAGGCTCAAAGGTAACATAAGTTTGTTTTTGTTTTTTTACATTTAATGCTATTTTCGTGTACTTTTTATGTCTTATTGTGAGGCTTAACTATATTTTAATGTGTAAACTAACGCTAGTTAACTGTGAAGTTGCTCCAGACTGCTCCATGACAACATTGCTAATATTTGTTTTGCCATTTATAGAAAATGCGAGCCAGGGAGCTCCCGCCACTCCCACAGGTTAGTCTCTGTTGTTGTTGTTGTTGTTGTTGTTGTTAATTACAGATATTACAGGGCACTGTCCTATGTAATAGTACTAAGTGTTCCATTATTCTTTATTAACACTGTGTTTTCCTAATAAAGGTAATTCTGACCTGTAACTACTGATTATATTCATTATGGATTAATCTGATGTTTATTGATTAATGAACAGGGAGATGATATCTATGATGCAATAAGGTAAAGGTAAAGTGATTTCAGGATGTTTTAGTGCCATTTTCTTAAAAGGTATGTAGTATATTTTCATAGTTATCAAGATAATATCGTATTTATCTTTGCCTAGATAGTAAATCGTAAATCGTCCCATGCCTGGTCCAACCAAAACTCCAAAACTCAACATTATATAAATACATTTATACAATTAAAAGTAGCAAGCTTTAATCATTAATTGTTTTACATGAAAACATCATATTTCATAAACCCTTTATGTGTTTTGTGTGTTAATCTGCAAAGTAACTAAAGCTGTTACATAAAACAAACAACAAAACAAGCAATTAGAAGGTGTCAGTAAAAGCTTTGTTGTGTTTATTTCATTCATTGGTCAGTTTGAAAAGTAGTTGACGCGTTCAGTGATTAGAAAAAAGTTTTTAGTGGGGCTGGGTGGAATGACTTAAATGAATATTTTGGTACAGATGACGTGGAACATCACAAATAAAATGAGCAAAGTGATGTTAAATGCACTGAGAATTGACAAAAGTTGTTTTAAGTGTATGTGGGGACGATAAAGCTGTATACTGTATACATCATTGGTGTATATAAGCCGCCTCCACAAGCATCAGAAAGATTAAACAGATTCTACAGACGCACTTCCTGTACATTTTCCTTATCCACACACAAGAGTTTGAAAAGGTTTGAGTCGTCTGACCTCTGCCCTGAGTAATCCCCAGTCGAATGAGATTTAGCCAAGGATTTAGCAGCGTCAGCCGGGATGTTATGTGTAGCTCCACTCTTATTTGATTCCTCGGGTGGATGGACAGAAAGACGATGGTAAGCTTTTTATTCACCTCATTTTCTGCTAGAACTGAAAATGTCTGAAAAAGCTCAACAACAAAAGAAACGGTTCCTTTGCGTCTGGGCTCATTGTTTCTCAGGAGAGCTGATTTGTTAACATAATCCAATTTTATTAACTAACTAAGTTAGAAGAACTCTTGCATCTTAATTAGGTATACGTCTGTGTAAACCTACGTATTTATACAAATCCCTGACGAAGGTTGGACGGATTAAAACGTTGTAATCAAATAAATATTTCAGCAGAAAGCGAGACAGTTCCTCCGACGCCACGGTCACACATTCAGGTGTGCAAAGATTTGTTTATTTTCTCAGAAGCTTACTGCTAAGTTTGTTATTGTTGTTAATAAATAAAAGGTAGAATAGGTCAACTTAATTTATTCCTGTGTGTTTTTTAATACTTTTAGACTCAACTTCTGGTGGATTTTTGCATTCGGAGGACAAATAGTTAATTTTACAACATATCTGTAGAAAAAGCATTGATTTAAATACTTTTAAAAAGTTTAAAACTTAATTTTGTCATGAAGTTACATTAGTTAGATATAAAATGTTTTTGTATGTCAGTTCTCAGTACAATTGTTCCCAACTTCTGACGTTATTTTTTAATTGAATAATTTATCGATTTATTAATTCTGCTGCTTATCCAGGTCCAGTCGTGGTTAATAATTAATTCATGATACTATTAGGAATTATTGTTATATACTGTTAGAAAGCAAAAGTATCACAAAAATGTGATATAAGTATTAACAAAGTAAGTTATTCATCGTCCGTACTGGTTATCAGTAGTATTTTTCATACTGTGAAATGGGCATTGATTTATATTCTGTGTGGTGTTAACCATTAAAAAGGCTTAAATTTAACTTTGTGCAAGCTGCTGAAACCTTGTTGATACACAAAGGTGGGAATTAAATAATAAACTCATTGAAATTAATCTGGTTGTGTGTTAACAAGTCACTGATGGAAAAAGTTCAGCTGTGGAAAATGAAATCTGTTTGATTGTGGTTATTTTAAACATCAACACAACTGACTTCTCCTTTTGTCTCTTAAGCGAGGGCAGCGGTCTCTTCCCACAGTGCCGAGGTAGGTTAATGTGTTCCTCCACTACCGTGATGTAATGTCTTTATATACAGTATTGATGCAGAACAGCCAAACCAAACTATTCTTCTTTTCTCTTTTCTCTCACGTGGGTCAAATGAAGTCAAGACACAGCTGGTGAGGGAATATTTGAAATGTAAAAAAAAATGTATATTTATACTGAAGTTCCTGATTTGATTAAACTTTTCTTTCTTTACCATCTTGTATAGGAGAAGTACCTCCAGCAAAACAGAAGAAGAAGAGGGTGAGGAAAGAGACAAATGGAGTCGATGATGTGGACGGTACGTAACACACACACATATCTGCAATCTAAAGTGTTTGCACTGACGGCATTTGTTTGTCGTAGCCAAACCTTAAACCTTTCATTTACCCGGATTTAAAGGGCTAGTTTATCCCAATATGAAGCCTCACGAGGCTCAACTTGACAATACCTAACAGCACTGTAGATGTATTGGAAGACATATATTTATTATTTCAGACTTGAGAGGAGCACAGCACGTTGTTATCATCGCTGACCGTATCCAACTACCTCATGTCTCCTTCATATATAGTTCCACAAACTACATAGTCCAGGAAAATAACAATTCCCCTCAAAACAACCAGATAATTACCTGTCCCTCAGTTCTTGCCATAGTTGAAAAGCCACAGCGATGTTTACTCTGGTTTGTCCTGTTGCTTTCTCTACACTTTTGTTTCTAACCTTTTCTATAAATAAAAAGCCTCTTTAATACATTAGCTACCCTAGCTTTAAAACACAAAAGTCACACAATAACACAAATAAACTGATTGAGGCAGCAGTAAACCAGCAACTCCTGTGTTCAATGAGGTAAAATGATGGAGTTTGGTGGCTTTGAAGAGAGAACAGATGGACGGCAAGAAAAAGAGGTGAAAATATTCTAAATATAGCGCACACTTAAACACACAGATTTTTTTTTTCTGATGCCACTGTCCACCTTGAATATGGATAAGTACCTCACACAACGCCAGTTCAAAAAACAAACTAATCTGAAACATTGCTTAAGGATAAAACAAGAATGTGTTACAGCTATTTAAAGTCATGTTTGTCACCGAAAGACGGAAACACACCATGCTCCAAGGTCAGTTCCCTTCTCAGTTAAAAGCTGTGTCACATGTGAGAAGATTTTCCTGCGTATTTGTGGTTTCCAAAGCAAAAGGATGACATTAAAAGCTTCTGCTGTTTCCTGTTTGTAGATCAGGGGATGGAAATGGGAGGCCTGGGCAGCCGGAGGGGTTCTGAAATCGGACAGCAACTCACCTTTGAAGCGGATGCACTCCCACAGAGGAGGAAGAAGAAAAAGAAAACTGCCACTATAGGTAAAGACTGAGAACAAAAGTTTCCCTGTAAATGCTTATTTTCTGCATTGTAGCTTTGCTAACATTCAGATGTTGTAGTTTTACCATGATGAAATAAATTCATGGTTTCAGATCTTGAAGATGACCAAGCCGACCTGGTGAACGGAGATGCAGCAGATCAGACCACAGATGGAGAAGAAGTGGTCAAAAAAGCCAAAAAGAAAAAGTAAGAAAGTAACAATTGTTGTAGTTACCACACAATATGTTGTTATATGAGCAGATTTCTTCTTTAAAAATATGAAATATGTACATTAACTTTACGCGTTTGTGTGCTATCATGCTTTAATTTTGTGCATAAACACCTGGTTTGAGTTATATTCTATTTAGAGTTCATTTATTTATGCCTGCAAATAATTTCAGGGTTCCCACATGTCCTGGAAAACCTGTACATTTAGAATTAGAAAAATTATTTCCTATAAAGAGTGGGAACCTTGACTTTGGTTGGTATGGTTTTTCTTTATAATCTTTATTCTTGTAATTTCAGGAAGTCAAGAGTCGTTGAAGCGCAGCTTCCCGATGAGTTGGACGTAGAAGAGGATGATATTATCACCGACACCCCTCCTCCTATCCCCCAGCACTCCCTGTTCTCAGCCCCGCATGGTCAAAGCCAGCCGGTGGGGAAACTCTTTGTAGAGAGGAACAGTGAGTAACGAAAGAAGTAAAATTTGTTAAATGGTGTTAAAAGCGGTGACTGGAGCTTATAAGTGCTCGTGTGTTTGCATGTAGAACGTTTCCAGGCTGCAGAGCGCTCCGACTGGAGGAAGACCAGCGACCAGATGGATAACATGACGGACTTCCAGCATATTCAGCCGATCTTGACCACCAGAGACGTTTCTCTCAAAGTGCATGAAGGCTTCAGGTGAAGGAAATGTGCTTGGACAACGCAAAAATCTGTAGAAGCATGCGGTCACCCCCTCCCTAAATGTCTCTCCTCTCCTCTGTAATCTGGTGCAGGGTGTTCGGCCTGTATTGTCATGGCTTCCTGGCGGGCTACGCTGTGTGGAACGTGGTGGTGGTGTACATGTTAGCTGGGCAGCACCTCACTGCTCTGTCCAACCTGCTGGAGCAGTACCACAGCCTGGCCTACCCCTCCCAGTCTCTGCTTTACATGCTGCTGGCCATCAGCACGGTGGCCGCCTTCGACAGGTAAACCTGGAAACCTTCACCAAATCTCTTGATGCCAGGTTCAGACTTTACAACTTGAAAATGGGCATTTGAATGTGATCGTTTTATCACTTGCATTGTTGGTTACACCATGTGCCGACATCATGCACTGGTCAGGTGGCTGCTACCAACCAGCAACCAGTCACTAGAGCAGATAGGAGAGAATAATATATTAAAAAAAAGATAACAGAATGACTAACATTATGTTCAAAAATAAAGAAAATAAGAATCGATGACTGTAATCTCCTAATATGCATACATGCAACATTGGTTTTAGACTGCAGACATACATATATGACATTTAAGTCTAAATGACGGCAATATTTTTCAATAATGCGCCGGTATTGCACATTTAGATATTTAAAAAGTTAGCGTTTTAACAATTTAGCAAGGAAAAACTTCATAAAATACCTTTTTACTTACAGTGACGCTGCTTGGTAAAATGTATTTGGTTGTAAAAGTATGAAGAGGAATGCAGCTTGCTTTTTAAAAAAGTAAACTCTTCTTCTCAGAGTTAACCTGGCCAAAGGCTCCATGGCTCTGCGGGAGTTCATCACACTGGACCCCGTCGCTCTCGCCTCGTTCTGTGAGTCCACACCGAGTCAACACAGGTTTTTAAGAGTTAACAGTGTTGTTCTGTCTGCTTGGTTTCAATTCACACTCTTTGTTCATTTTGGTCTCATCCAGTGTATTTCTCAGCGTTGGTGCTCTCTCTGAGCCAGCAGATGACCAGCGATCGAATCAACCTGTACCCAGCGTTCAACACAACATTATGGTGAGTTCACAGGAATCGTTTTATGTTTCTGTATTATTATGAAGCCTGGATCTGATACCTGGAGCTCTTGTTTTTCTTCTCCAGGCCACCAGGATCAGAGCACCAGATTCTCCACCCATGGGTGACTGTAAACCTGGTGGTGGCTCTACTGGTGGGGCTGGCCTGGATCTTCATCGCCACCAGACCTGAGACAGACTATACTGAGTGTAAGAGAGAGAGCAGTCTGTGCTGAATACTGCTTTGATATTTAAAGACAAATCCAGTTTTAAAAATGTATTATCTTGTCATTCTTCCTCAGGTTATCTGATGGCCATGGAGATTGAGCCTCCCAAACCAGAGGACAAATCAGAAATGAGCGCCTGAGAAGAAAATTTGTCTGTATATCTGCTCTGACACACACTGTACGGACGTATTGTCCTTTTGCACATATTTTTTGCACTGTATTTTAACAGTGAACTCTGAATGTGTAGATTATTTTTGTATTTTTGAAATGTGAATGTGGTTGTCTCTTTTTAAATACAAAAGTTTTATCCACCAAATCCAACGCCTCTTTATGCCTTTCCTTAAGGAATTAGTTGCTTAAAGCATGATGGTATATAACTGTATGTAGTACTGTATGTGTCTTTACAATACTGAATGATACATTTACTGATAGATAGATAGATATTTATCCCGAGGGAAATTCAAGTATCCAGTAGCAATAAAAATACAAAAAACATACATTAAACATACATTAAACTAAAATTAAAAACCCTAACTCTAAGAATAATTTAAAAAAAAAAGGTATGTCCAGGTAAAACTATAGCATTAACCTTTCTGAGCCTTCATGAACATTTATTAGGTACAATCATTATAAGAAATATAATAGTTCAATAATTTCTTGAAAATATAATAGATTTTTGGCTGTTTCTTTAACACTTCACACTCTATTTACCTAATTATACTCTATCTCTAAACAATTACAATTATCTATAGATAATATATAAATGTATTAAATATGAAAATAAATGATAAATGGGGGGTGAAAGAAAGAAATAAACCCCTTTTAAGGATCCATCGATTCCTTCTGATATCAATTAGTTAGCTCTGCCTGCCATCCAGACTGTGCAGTCGAGCACAGAGTGCAGTTTCTGTAGACGTGGTATCGGCGACTGTTATCAGTTTGGGTGGAAAATCTCCAGATATTCATGAGTAAAAGTGATCTAAAATACTGCTATTAAAAGCGAGAAGTCATGCTGGACTTTGCCATCTTTGCTGTTACGTTTGTCATCATTTTGGTCGGCGCTGTTCTTTATTTGTATCCGGTAAGTCTCTGCAAGTTTAAAGTTAGCTTTAAGTTACACCAGTCTCCTTTAAAAATAATGCACTTTTAAGGTTCCCCTGCTCATGGACAAGCCGAAGCGTCTCATGTAAAATCATTATAGACCTTAAATGAATTGTTGCGAACATTTTAAGGTTTCGGTGTACATCTAAAACACCTATCAGTAGTTAAGAGTTCACAGTGGGCGTTAACGAGCACCGTGATCCACTGACCTAAACTGTCTATTAAAGTTAAATATAAAAAATAAAATGCCTGTCATTTCTGTGCCGATTTTACCCGAAGATCATAATACCTGTTCCCATTACCTCAAGTTATGTCTTTCAGTGTGTGTGTTTGCCTGTGTTTGAGGAAGCATTAAATTGACACATTTTTAAATGAGATTCAATACTGAATGAAACACTTATCGGCTGTAGCTCTAATTACCTAACCTACTCATCAACAACAACAGGAGATAGATGTGTGTGAACGCCACTGAGAGAACACATATCTATATTGTCAAAATCGTTTAAATAATAAATATTTTATTGACATTGACGTTAATGGCAAAATTTAATTTCTAATCATGTTTTCAGTCCTCCAGAAGGGCCTCTGGCATCCCGGGTCTCAATCCTACAGATGAGAAGTAAGTTGTAATCTTAACCTCAGTTTTCACAGCTGCTGTTATTCTTTAATTCAGTAACAGGATGTAGTAAACTTCATATACTGTACATGCAGGTAACCAGCCTCCCTGTATAAGTACTGACATTTATATTTGCCTCCAATTACAATAAAACAAAGTAATATAGATAGTTCTTGATTGTAATTTTTATATATATTTTTTTCCTCCAGTTTTTCTCCAGTGTGCAGCAATTGTTCACATTAGATTAACATCATGACTTTCTGCTCTCTCAGGGATGGGAACCTGCAGGACATTGTGAACAAAGGCAGTCTGCATGAGTTCCTCGTCAGTCTACATGAGGAGTTCGGGTCTGTGGCGTCGTTCTGGTTCGGCGGCCGGCCGGTGGTCAGCCTGGGCTCTGTGCAGCAGCTACGGCAACACATCAACCCCAACCACAGCAGTACGTGCACAAGCATTTACCACGCTGGTTGGATTTCACTATTGTCCAACTGATTGCAAACCTTACAGATACCTCACTCATACTTCTCTCCTGAGGAATTAACATCACTAGAGATGTTCCGAATACCAATTCTGATAACTGAACTTTGCGTATTGACCAATACCAACTGATACGTGTGTTACAAAATAGATATATATGTCTGATAATGGTATCTGTGACGGAGCAACTCTAAAAATCACATTTGGAAACAAAAATGAACAAAGCATTCTCCTTTTTTGCCTTTTTCAGCTGACTCCTTTGAGACGATGCTGAAGTCGTTGCTAGGTTACCAGTCAGGGATGGGGGGTGGGGCCACCGAAACCGTAATAAGGAAAAAAGTGTATGAGAGTGCCATTAACAACACGCTGAAGAACAACTTCCCTCTTGTGCTCAAGGTTTGTATCGCCAATGAAAAGATATATTTACGACTACTCACAACATTAAACATTGAGAAGTGTTCAAATACACCTTCTGTAATTGTTTTCTTTTACGTAGCTGGTAGAGGAGCTGGTGGGGAAGTGGAAGTCATTCCCAGAGGCTCAACACACGCCGCTGTGTGGCCACCTTTTAGGTCTGGCCATGAAGACTGTCACCCAGCTGGCTCTGGGTGAGCGCTTCAGAGACGACACTGAGGTCATTTCCTTCCGCAAGAACCACGAGGCGGTGAGACAACGGCATAGATTTCCTATTTGAGAAAAAGGTCCAAAGAAGTTCTGCTGAAATGGCTGAGATTTTGTTTTTCTCTTCTTCTAACTTACGCCACCGCCACCAGATCTGGTCAGAAATCGGGAAAGGCTACTTGGACGGTTCCCTGGAGAAGAGCTCCAGCAGGAAAGGACATTATGAGAAGGGTGAGTGAGGTTCGCATCGTGAATGAACAATATGTAATTTCTCGGTCTCTCACATCAAAACAATATCAAAAAACAAAGTTGGATGATGTTGTGAAGCAGCGTGGGATCATGGGAATCTTCACTACCATTGTCCTCATTGCAGTCAACTTCTCCCGGTTAGGTTTCCTTTAGTGTTCATTGTTTAGGAGGTTTCTACCAGAAGCCCAGTTATCTGCAGAGGCCTCCTCCTCTCTTGGTGAGTAGCAGTTCCACCTTAAAAATCAGAGTTTCTCTGATGCCGTTTGGT